TGAATTCACATCATCAATATTATAGTCAATAATTCCCCTTCGCGTCAATATATTGATGCGTGTGGGGTTTGCTTTAGAGTTACCTCTATGAACTGCACACGGCGAATGAGAACGACTCAAATTTGAGTTTAGTTCACTCATAATCGCCAAAAGTGCAGGAACTCAGCGATGAGTTAATTTGCCTCATGTTTTCCCAGGTTTTTCCAGGATTTTCCAGGGAAAAATTCCCGAATTTGAGAAAAGTAAAGATTGGATTCACTCAGTCTATTGTTACTACTCCGAGACTGAATAAAATTTTCGTCAATTTCCTCATTTTCCGGCAGATTTTTTAGGTTTTCCACAGGAAACCATGAGACAAATTTAACTCATCGCTGCGTTCCTGCACTTTTGGCGATTATGAGTGAACTAAACTCAAATTTGAGTCGTTCTCATTCGCCGTGCAGCGTTGGATGAAAACACACACACCAACCTCTGCATGTACAGACCCACACCACTGAGTCTGCCAGTACAGAGCAAATCAAAACACTAAAGCTGGGCTTAGACAGGGCAAGTCAATTGATCAAGTCAGTTGAATTCAACTGATTTGAACGCGAATTGAACGTGTAAACCATGCCATTCTACTGACTTGATCAACTCACTTGAATTGAAAAAAAAAAGTTGAACCAGGCTCAACTTTTCAAGCTAATTGAATTCAACTGAATTGATCATTGGACTTGCCTAGTCTAAACCCAGCTTAAGCGATGTCATCACTCATCGTCTTCATTCAGCTTCGGCAGCTTCCGTTTGCGTTTGCATTTACCGGCGTTGACAAATCTCGCGTAACATTTCAAAAGGGTCTATCCTCGTTGATCGATTCTCTTCATTGACTTTCTCTTTGAATTACTACGGCTAAATAAACGAATTTCACGCTATGCTCGCAGCACAGTTCGACAGAAGATTGTGTTAACTTGTGCCTGAAACAACGCACTCGATGTAAAATGCATTTGCAGTCGCGTTATTCGCGAAAGAGAAAATCGATTAAGAGAATTGATCAACAATGATAGGCCCTTTTCTCGTCTGACGGGAAAAATACCTTCTAACGTTAAAAAATAGGAAAGTAATCATCATCCCAACGTAAATTTTGAATAGAGTGCGTGCTGCATTGGCCTTAGAAGACGGCGTATTTTATTACGTTAGTTTAGCAATAGTTTCGATACGTTGCATTTCCAGTGGCTGGTGTGTTGGAATAATACTTTATAGGGAGAGGGAATGTTTTTCCATGTTTACTTCTACGCTTACAAACATTATTTTGAGCAACAGCTTTGCAAATCATCAATTACTATTAGAGATTTTCATCTTACTTTTACCGATGAAGATATTGGAAACTCTTTCACTCGAAAGCAAAACTTATTACACGTCCATCATGATGCGAGCTTGGAAGTGTGATTGTTGCGAATAAATTGGTAATGATTGAAAATCGGAGCAAAAGTGAGAATCTTGCTATCGCAATATGATGATATGATGATGGCATCAAGGATGATATCGTCCTCTTCCCTTTTTATGGCACAGACCTGTTGGTCCATATTAGAATCGTCCTCTTCACTCGGCTGATCATTAACGTCCGCGCTGACATCTGTCATGCTGACACCTGTCAGTTATTGAGCACTGATGGTGAAGTTGGTGCGGGACTCTCAACAGTTTCAATGTGCACTCACCAGATGGCACTGCGTTCACATAAGGGTGGTGGATCCATTGTCTTGTTCGAAGAATTGATTAGTGGGATATCTTGTAAATTAAATATCTTCGATTGGTTGATACCTTGGACGGATTCAAACGTCTTCTCAAGTATCTTACTGAGAAGCAGCATCAACTTATAACTTACGACACCAAAATTAAACGTCTGTTCAAGGTTGTCATGAAAGGTCTGCCCAGTGGTGAATCACTGGGTCAGATCAAAGATGAACTGGCAAAATTACTTGGAGTTGTGCAACTCCAAGTATTAAAAATGAAAATGAAATCCCGTCCTGGTGATTCGCGCAACGGGAATTCGAATTAATTTTATCTAGTTCACTTCAAGTCTAGTGAACTAAACAACCTTGTGTTGGTGATACCGTTGTCGACATTCGACCTGCGAAATCGAAGGCTAACTTCGATCACCTAAATACACTCTTAAAATAATCTAAGAACATTACACGTATGATGCTCTCAACCCATGCATTTCTTTCGTAAGATCTGGTCCTCCACTCCTCATCGGATTCTTTCAAAATTCAGCCATCGACCGAAATTCTTTTCATTTGATTTTCTTTCGCCTCCGACTTGAAAGACCTTCGTCCACATCTTTTCGCGCTCTTTTTTTCTCTATTGAAATGAGACAATGCGAATTTTTCATCTCTTTCGTTCTTCCGCTGTGTTCTGACATAGTTTGATTTCACACTCCGTCAACCATAGACCTTTTTGACGATTGATCATCTTTCTCTATCTAGCACACATGGATGAATGGACGGTTTGTTTTCCCACTAATCTGTTTCCCTCTTGCTCGCACTCGTTCGCTTTAAATGGTACAGTAGTGTGCGTCGATTAAACGTCAAAAAGCTCTATATAACAGCGCTCGAAAGAGACGACAAATTCACATTGTTTATAGCACATAGAGATTGCTGAAGTTTATCGTACGCACACTGTTTACATCAGGAAAAAAGCATTCATTGCGGAAAATTTTCCTGATGAAAACAAATCACTGACGCCATCACACTTAAGCTATCTCTATTGAATCGCGAAGGAACGATCCTCCTTCGTCGTCCTCAAAATATCGTTATCTTTCATGTTATAGTTAGAGATGTGATCGATAAAAAACGATATTATTAATTTTAGAGATTTGAGCGCTATTATATTGGATAAATTGGATTTATTCAGATATAAATAAATTTAACATAAGTTTTTGTTGCCTTAGATAAGATTTAGTTTAAGTTTTTATTTTTAAGATTTCAAATGTTATACTGACATGCAGGTTTAAAAAACCTATTTAAAATACCAAGGCAGGAACAATGTAAAAACACTTAGATATATATCATAACAATTAAGGCTGGTAAGTTACTGTAATAACTGGAGCACCCAGGTTAAAATGAAATGAAATTTATTTTGAATTTGGAACAAATAAAGAGTTAAAAAAAATAAGTTTTTGTTGCAATTTGAATACATCGGGGAGTTTAATCCCCCTTGTTGCAATGGCAAAAAGCAGATACAGTATTACATTTACGGATGTCACCTTGTTCGCGAAATCGGTGTCCACCGCAATACCTAATTTTACAAAACCAGCGGAATGACCTATGTGCATCTGATGTGCTGTAAAATTCAGCAACTTTTGACGTAGACTACGTCTTAAAAATTGCGACCGATTTTGAACGCTTATAACTTTGTCATTTATTGATGAAATTAAAATACAAATATACCAATCGAAAGTAAATTACTCTCAAAATTTGCTAAAACAAATGCTTTTTTAATTTTCTATTAAAAACTGTTTACAACTTTACAAATAAAAAGTGATAATATTATCATTATTTTCATGACATATACGTTCTTCCCAAACCCAGTCGTCATAATCGAGTACCACTTGGTTGCACATCGTTCTGCTTGAATCTGAAAAGCTATAAAACAGCGGTTCTGCCGTGCCTCAACTCATAAAGTCATACACATCCGGAAACCTGGGAAGGATCCGTTCTCTCCTTCAAGTTATTGACCAATCAGCCTTCTCTCAGGGTTATCAAAACTGTTCGAAAGAGCAGTCTAGCACCGGCTCCTAACATCTGCCGAAGAAAACAACTTGTTGCTCGAGGAACAGTTTGGTTTTCGGAAAGGTCGTTCGACCGTCCACCAGTTGACTCGAGTAACAAACATCCTCAGACGGAACAAGTCTGTTTCGAAAACATCTGCCATGGCGTTGTTGGACGTTGAAAAAGCGTTCGACAATGATGGCCTGGTTTTCAAATTGCAGCACTACGGTCTTCCAATCTTCCTAGTGAAGATAATTAACAACTACCTATCGAACAGGACGTTCCGAGTCTCTCGGAATGGCATCACATCGGATGCTTTCAACATCGGTGCTGGGGTTCCACAAAGAAGCATCCTTGACCCCATTCTTTTCAACCTGTTCACCTCCGATATGCCGGCTCTCCCTGATGGTGGATCGTTGTCTCTGTTCGCAGATGAAACATCCATCGTCTACAAGGGTAGGGTCATCGGAGCTCTGACTGCCAAACTTCAGAGAGGCCTGGACGTTCTGTCTGAATATTTCAACAGCTGGAAGATCCGTATCAACGCGGCAAAGACCCAGGTCATCATATTTCCACACTCTAAATCTCCCAGACTTGTTCCATCGGTGAATAATAAGATCTGCCTGGACGGCACAGTGGTGGAATGGTCGAAAGAGGTAGTCTACCTCGGCTTAACACTAGACAGCAAGCTGATTTTCAGGGAGCACGTTGACAAAACCAAAACCAAGTGTAACATCTTGATAAGATCACTGTATCCACTCATCAACAGCAGGTCTACTCTATCCCTGTAAAATAAGCTTGCTGTCTACAAACAAATCATCTTTCCCGTAATAGAATACGGGATGCCAATCTGGGAGAGTTGCGCCAAATGCCATTACCTTTATCTCCGAAGGATCCATAACAAGATCCTTAGGATGGTCCTAAACAGTCCCTCGCGGACTAGACATTCTGAGATCCACCTTCTGGCTGGAATTCAGACATTAGAAGAACGGAAAGTAAATATTCATCCTGGAAAGGTTCAGAGACACCTGTCAAATTATCAGATCATACGTGATCTAGCACGTTAAGTTAAGTTATACTCGTAGTTAGGTAAGTTTTCACTTTTCTCAATTCAACACACACCCCCAAAGGGGTATTCTGTAAACTAGCTGAAAAACACTTATATTAAATTAGAATATCAAATTAAGCAAAGTTTAAGAGCCAGGTAGGCTAATCAATTAAAATGTTAAATCAATGTACTATCATAATCAACAGAAATAAACATAATTTTACAACTACTACTACTGGAAGCAGCAGCAGTAGTAGAAAGGCAGCGGTTCCTGTCAACCACGAGTTTGCACCCCGAACCTTGCGCGTTGTTCACGCCGAGCTGGCTGCTGGCAGCGAGCCCCGTTTGATGGTGCAAGCACTCCGATGTGGATCAACCTAACCTGAGTGATAACGTAAACGCGTTCTACAAATCTCGATTACTTTTTCGAAGAGACGTAGGGGAAAATTTCCCCTATCTGATGGTAGTGTTAGCATGCGTGGGCAAGCTACCAATTTCGCCAAATCGAAGATCAAATGCTTTGTTTACAAAAACTGATATGTCCCTTTGAAAAAGTAATCAAAAAATGCTTCATGAGCTGACTCCAAATTGCCGAGTTAAATTTAATTCGTGGCTAAAACAGTTATTTTCAATGTTCGAAAATCCCGGTGTTTTCGATCGATCGGTTTTCCAACAGAATTCAGTCACGGTTGCTAAAATTAAACTTCTAGTGGGTCAGAAATAACCAAACTCGTATAGCAGGGTCAGTGTTGGGAAAATATCAAAAAATCAAATCTCACCAACGCCCAAGATCACTCTAGATTTTCGTAGACAAAAATCAACTAGCAAAAAACTGCGGTTGATTTTGCAAGCTGTGATATCGTAGCTCGGAATATCAAGCTAACAAAACTCACCAGCTGCAAATCTCAACAAACTGTGGTGAGATTGAGTTTCATGATTTTTGCTTTTCACCCGAATGCAACCGAAATTTGCATAACGGCTGGCAGCAGCCACTTCGTGTCTGCCATCGGTGAAGAGTAAAAAGAGATAGCATACTATACTTTCTCTCTCTAAGAAAACGATGTGCAACGGCATCATTTTTGTGTCGAGTCAACTCTCAGCTTGATTTTTGCACGTTGTGAATAGTCTCGCAATATCAAAGGAGCTTGTAAAATCAATATCAACCATGATATTTTGTTCCAATATCACGCGTGATTTTGCGAGCGCATGAGAGCGGAAAAATATCTTTTGGTTTCTGATTTTGCCAACACTGAGCAGGGTTATTCGATAACTCCATCGGTCACTTTTAACCACGAGTTAAATTTAACTCGCCTATTGGGACACAGCCTGATGTACTTCCACAGCAAACGCACCAAGAAATCGACAGTGAGCATGTACAAGGGCCCATGCAATAAACGATTCTCTTCGTCGATTTTCTTTTACAATTCTAGACGAACAATTCAATAGTTCCTATCTGCCTTGATCGATTCTCTCCAACCATTTTCTAATGAAGATATTCCCGATCAACTACGACATAAGATTGGTGCAAAATTGTGCACCCCGTTTTTGTGTTTGCATTTTTTTAAACGTTTTGATGGTGAATCGCTGTGGAAACCTAATTTCTGATCAATCTCATTACCACCTCAAAATTTAAAGGGTACAAATATCAGTGAGAGCTACAAAACATACATCAATGAAACTGGAACTTATCGTTTCCTACAGTGCAGTACACAAGGAGTTACAATTTGCTCTAGAAATCTTGAAGTGATAGGGAATATCAGCCATCATGACGGCCATTGTTGGGTGCTTCAAGGAATCAACTGAAGAAAGTCCTACCTACATATCTGTTTGTAATTTAGGACCCAAATGTAATAGAATATGTATTCGCATTTTATGAGGTCCTGAATTTAACCAAGTTTTACTAAGTAGGAAATCCAAAATATTTACATAGGACCGAAATCATAGGTTACTTCTACTGTATTTTAAATCAATATCTAGAGAAATGCACGAGAATTTCACTGCACAGCTTAACGTAGTCTACGTCAACCATGCGATCGTGTCTTGTACACAACCCCACTAATTTTTTTTTACTGTGAACACACTTAGAATATTTCTAAGATTTCGGTGAAATTTTTCTGAAATCTCAACAACTGAACGTTCGGTGATTTGAAGCTGCAAAAAAGTTATCTGATAAAATTACTGAAAAGTTCTGGAGCATTTCCACAGCCCAAAACTCTGGACGAAACACTCATGATTTGAATCAAACAATACTATTATCACAGACAAACAGACATAACATTCGCAAGTTGTTCATCGAATAAGAATTTAACGGTCAATTTAAAAGTATCGTAGTTGGTAGTACCGCCACCTGTGGCGCGCATAGTCAATTCCCTTGAGTTTGACTTTTACACACTACCGCCATCTGTTCAGCGTACTACTCACCACAGTGTACTCAACAGATGGCGGTAATGTTTTAGCGACGATGTTTTACAGCGAGAAATATTCAATGTGTTATGTCTGTTTGTCTGTGCTATTATGTTCGCTGCTACCAATGGTTGCATTTTTAGTTTCAATATATTTTTTGCTCCTGAGCAGGGATGCCAGATTTTTTTTCAGAAGTCTGTATAGGTTTTAGATATGTAAACAACTTTGCCGAAGAGAGTAATTTCACTGATTACCAGGATCTCGAGATATAAAGGCTGAACACGAAAAAAACCGGATACACTATAAACGCTGCCATTGGCATTGAGTTATTTTTTTTTTAATTTCATTTAATCAAGCTAAGAGCACAGACAAACAGACATAACACATTGAATATTTCTCACTGTAAAACATCGTTGCTAAAACATTAGCGCCATCTGTTGAGTACACTGTGGTGGGTAGTACGCTGAACAGGTGGCGGTAGTATGTAAACGTAAAACGTAAGGGAATTGACTATGCGCGCCACAGGTGACGGTACTACCAACTAAGATACTTTTAAATTGACTGTTAAATGCTCGTTCAATTAACAACTTACGAGTGTTATGTCTGTTTGTCTGTGCTAAGAGTGTATAGAATCACAGTACAGTACACGGTAAAAAAAACATCACGTGCATTTGCTGTTGAATTTGCACTACTTGCCAAACATTGCAAATCGATGTGTAAATCCCTTGGAAGAGATCATTCGAAGCACGATGGAATCAACAGCAAATCACTTCATTTAGATTGTATTACACATCGTTGTTAATGTGCTGTGCTTTGAACTCGAAATGTCAACCATACTGTCACTTTCAGTTTAACTAATTTATCCTTGGATTCAATATTTGTTGAAAATGGGTTTAAATAAATACACTGGAGTCGCTTTTTACGCGGGTGATACGTCCCGCGTAAAAAAAAACCGCGTAAAAAAAAACCGCGTAAATTCCGGAATCCGCGTAAAAAAAAACCGCGTAAATTCCGAAATCCGCGTAAAAAAAAACCGAGTAAAAAAAGACCGTGTAAGAAAAAAACGCGTAAAAAGCGATATACCGCGTAAATTCTGAAATCCGCGTAAAAAAAAACCAAAATCCGCGTAAAAAAAAACCGCGTAAATTCCGGAATCCGCGTAAAAAAAAAACCGCGTAAATTCCGAAATCCGCGTAAAAAAAAACCGCGTAAAAAAAAACCGTGTAAAAAAAAACCGCGTAAAAAGCGACTCCAGTGTATATCGCTTTGTTCATACTGCAAGCCTTGTTATATGTCATTCCAAATATGACCATATCATATTACTACCCAGATCACATGTTTCCAAGTGATATTGAACAACATCGCAAGGCTTTTAGTATATGCAAGACGAGGCATTGAGCAATAAATTTGATAAGTTTGGCAATGTTTTGTAATCGAACTTTTCTGAATAATACACTATTATTGAAAACAGCAACAATTTCGTATTACTCACGCACTTAGAACTTAAATTATTTCGGGTGGAGATGGAGCATTATCGCTTCTCTCACTTGACTTCATTTGTTGTTGCCTTGCCATCTTCGCCAGTAATGTTTGTCATGCGTTTTTGACATTTGCTTCCAAAAGCAAAACTAATCAAATTCAATAGATGAAAACAGTGGTAAAGATTCAAATGATAATCATTTTGATTTAAAGGTGTTATACATTACATATTTTTCAACGACAAATCACTTTGTTTCAAAACGCAAATAACTTGAAAATCAATGATAAATCACCTCGATTCGTAGTGCCGAATGACAGACTGAGTCAAGTGCAAGAGCACAACGGCGCCGGTGGTGTAGTGGTAAGCTTGATTACCTCTCACCCCAGAAGGCCTGGGTTCAATCCCAGTCGGCGCCGCCGGGATGTTCTGAGGCATAACATCTCTGAGCACGCCTTCCTTCGGATGGGAAGTAAAGTCGTTGGTCCCCGGTTCATGAGTTGATGGGTCGATAGGTAGAGTCCAGGTGTGGGAGCTGCCTTCTTGGCACGTCGGTAGCATTGGTGCTCAGCACGGAAAACAAGATCGACGGAAAAAACAAACCATAGGAAAAAAAAAATGCAAGAGCATTTTGATTAGACGTGACAACTTTTTACCGTGTATGCATTGATCGGCAGGATAAGTTCATTTATTTACATCATGGCAAGCCTGGAGTGGGACGTGCTGTCAAATCAGCCTACTGATCATTCCTGTATGGTTCCAAACGTAAACAAACCCTGTAGGTTTCTTATGGCTTGTTTACGTTTGGAACCAGTTATGCGAGGTAGGCGACGATTGTTCGTATTTGCCAGCATCCTCCCCCCCCCCCCCCCCCTTGTGGCAAGCACGTCGTGATTCGATCCTGCACGCTCGAAACGAAAATCCCAGTCTGTCCGCTCCTGACAGTTTTTGATCAAATTCCTGCGCAAGAATTTTATACCACGGTTGACCGGAAGAGTGCCCCGGAAGCATTAAAAATCAAAAAGTAGTCAAAATTTCCCAAAAATTTCCTTACGTGGCAAGCAATCTGTACACACCAAATTTCGATTTTGAGTTTCAGCAAAAAAAATTGCTGAAATGTGTTCAGTAAAATAAGTTTTTGCTGGAATTCAGTATTAGTATTTTTAACATTGCCGAAATCCACTAAAACAGGCAAATTTCAGATTATTTGCTGATGATCAGTAAGCCAAGCACTTAAATGACAGATCACGCAAAACTTGTCTACGCTATCTGACAACAAGCTTCAACTTGGTCTTTGAAGTTTTTTGTTTAATTCCCGCGATCCCAGACACGATGTGTATTTTTTATAATTATAGATAGCTATGAAGTTTCGTGTAAAAATTGAACTGGAAATGTTAATTGTTGTCCATAAACTCACGGAAGAGGAATGGAATCATTTGGTTAAGCTATTTTATTAATTAAAAACGTTATGGTTTTACAGGTTTCCTTTGCGGCAAAACAA